CTGCCTCATCGCCTTTGAAAATGTCCACCGCAGTTGTGGACGAAACCTCAGGAAGAAATTCCGATAGACCACGGCTTCAAAGCCCGGAAAACATTTCTAAATGTAATCTGACCGGCCGTGAAAGCCTTCATAGTCTGAGTGTACTCATATGTTTGAGGACTCGTGGATGCTCGAAATCAGCAAAAGTAAAATAATAATCAAATTGTGCCAAGCATAAAGAGTGCAGAAATAGCGGCAGGCATAAACTTTATTAGTGGCGCGCCTTACCAAAAATCAAATGCGCATGTGTAGATGTATGATCAGCAGAAGTGAATTTCACTGCGGCACTATTCTATTCTTTGTCTTCTGCAATATATCTCTTTGTGTTCTTTCTTCTTTCTTTCTTTGACGAAAAATAATGACTTATTCATTAATTTTTTCTTGAATGGGTTTCTTTCCAATATAAGGTGGCAATAAAGTTAAAAGCAAAATAAAAAAGTACTGGAAAAAATTCACGCGCTGTAGCTGAAAATGCATTTTTCCTATGTTAAATGGGATTTCGCAGATGGTTTCAAAATGAGCTCAGCAACTAAAAATTAATTTTGAATGATAAACTTGCTGGAAAATAGGTCAGCGATTTATTAAATCTAACAATCAAACTGAATTAGAGTTGCTCCTTATTTCCAAGAAAACATAAACGACGAGCATAAGATTATGCAAATGTAAAATAGATTTTCTGATGGAAGCGACCAAATGAAACGCAAACTAAAAATAATAACAGATTGCCAACGGACATTTTGATACACTTTACTAATGGTTCAGCATTTCAATTAAAAAACTCAGCATTTTCAAGGAATCTTTTGTTTAAATTTTTCTTTTCGATTTGAAAGGGGTATAATTTATTGTAAATTTTATTCAATAATAGACATTTTCGTGAGATCGGTTTATTTTATCGATCTGAAACACGAGTAGATTTTTAAAGATAAGCCATAGAAGCTGAAAAGTCCCTGGTGAACTCACAAAGAGTTTCAAATCCAAAATGAGTTTCTAAGACGCTATTTTAAGGAGCGTTAAGCAGTGTCTATTATATTAACAAATTACTAACTTATATTATAGCAAGTAAGTACTTTAAAATTTATTTAATAAAAACTGGTTCTCGGCGCCGTCTTTTATGGGCCAAAATCTGAAACAGCCATACTTCTAATTGCATTGCTTCAAAGGTTCTTCATCTACAATTACGATCTTCTTATAGTGGCAACTAAAAATATTTGAGAAAGCTCACTATTAACGATCAGTTCTCACCAAACGATTGCTGGTAATGTTTAATTAATATTTTTAGCTTGTAATTACCATTACAGCATTACGTACTACAACCAGAAGTAAACTACCATGACCTGAATACATCCTTATAAATACAGGCAAGATGCTCTGAGCGTTGTTGAGATTTGTCGAGGTCTTTCACCGGTCTGAATTGTTGCAACTTTTAAAATTTCCGTAGAGGAACAACGTTTATTACAAAATCAATTCTAGTACGGATTATTTCTTAAACATCATGGTACTTGAAAGGCTTATTCAAGCAATTTTCTCACTCGAGAATGCTGTAAAGGTGTGGCCTTTACATGCTAAAGGAGTGAATTGAACAATGCTAAAAGAGAGCTTTTTTAATGAAAAGCAGTTTTAATTGCAATAATACGGATTTGATGAGTGTCAGTGGGTTAGGAATAATGATTTTCTACAAGTAATGTATTCTATACAATTGATTACCTTCCAACTTCAGCTTCCTTTTGTAACTTTTCTATACAAGTCGAGTTGAAAATGTTGTTTCCATCTTCACGGCAAAATAACATGCTAAATAACAGTCAGGACAAGTCAATTAAAAGTTAATAAATGCACAAACAGATTATTTTTTAAAATAATTCGGGTTATACTGAATGATAATCTATCCTTGCAGTAGGTTAATACTGAAACCAAACAATCGTTGCAAATATCTTGACGCCTTAAAATTTAATAATTAAATATATTTTGTTCAGAAGTGAGTGAAATCTAACTTTTGTGCTTTTATTGATTAATTGTGTTATTTATCATATATTTTAGTAGAAGGATGGAAAAAAAGGAGAATAGAAGGATATTGAAAAAATAAAAAAGAAGTATACTTTCCCAAGATCACAACAGACCAAATCCCAATATTTTTCGTCCAACTTTTGAAAGTTCAGCTACTGAAACAAAGTTTGCACAATACATTTTTTTTAATTTATTAAAATTGCAGTATTTCAGGCTGTTCTTAATCTGCTAAATGATTTATCAAAAACTTAGCCGCATAGAACCGCAAAAGCTCACTGTAATTAGCAAGTAAACGTAACATTTCGTTCCAACGTTTTTACTTTCTTCGCCTTCATTGACCAGTAGCCGATTACATTCCGACACGCGACAAAATAAGACTTTCTGTCTTTGCCATAAAAAGCAAATCAATTTTCTACCGCAATTTACACTAGACTAATTTTTATAAGAAATTGAATCCAATGTCTTACTTAATGCTAATCGAAAAGTACACTCATTTGATCGAATGTATTACAAAAATGAAACATTCTAAATATTTTCAGTATTATTTGCTTAAATGTTTCACGAAATCAGTAAAGGTGGTTCAAATTTATTTTCTCTAAATTAAAAAGCAAAATATTGAAAACTTTATTTTCTGGGTTAAGAAACCAGTTTATTGCTCAATTTGTTCTTGTCAATCAATTGCTTATTCTGTTCAAATATGTTTTTTTTAATTCATCAAGAATATTTCCATAAATTGAACCATCGAGAATAAGGAACTAAACACTAAACTAATAATGAGACAAACATTAATACTGCAAATGCAACCAGAAAATCTTTATATAATTGAGTGATCATATTCGATCTTTGCTATTGTTATTGCTTCATCTAAACTGAACTTTTGTATGTTTTTTAATAATTTTTAGTTGCTTGTGATTTCAGTGTCACCCTGAAATGTGCCTAGAAAAAGTTGAATCTTCTTTTCTGTTTGTATGCTTTTCTTAACACTCTTGTTCCAAAACTCATTTGGAATACACTGACTTACTCTATTCAAATCAATACATTGAATCCTTAAAAATCTATATCCGTTGAAACTTTCACAATCGATTTTTTCGTAGGCGCTTTCATCTGTTACCATTGAAAGTGTACATATTGTTCATTGAAGGAAGGAAATTTTCCTTTTCTATCTGCACTTATATAGACAATATAATTATTGGCCGTAATTAAGTGAAAACATGGATTGCGTTTTCTAGGTTAATATCGGAAAATACTGCAACTAAGATTAAACTTTTTCTTCTTGGTGTTGTTTTTTATTGTAGAGAATTCATATTGGATTATCAAATTTATGGTTATTGGGTAAAGTTACGTCGCATAGGTGGTTTTTGGTAAGATTTATCGACGTCGGATGTTTTGATGAATAAAAAATTACATTTATCACCACAATGAAACTAAGTACTGGTAATTATGACGCAAATTATTGGCTTCCTACATGTAATTTGTCCAATTGAGACCCGATACAGCATAATTATTAACTTGAATCCATACACTTGGAATGAGCGCTGAAAGTCAAGTTTCGAGTAATGC